TTTTCTTGTATCTGTAGTGTTTAGTCTCAAGAAACAAGAGTCAGTGAAAAACTAACATGAATAATAAGTTCCTATGGTATTAGCGTGCACCGTACCAACGAAAGACGTCTTCAAGAGCAGTCCAAGACGCGAATGTTCCAAAGAGAGCAGAGCAATTGACCCTGAAGGTAGTAACCGAGGGTATCGGTACCTCTCCAGAAGCTGAGTCATCTGTGCACAATCGCGTTAGCATAGCGATGTCTGCTACTGCAAATGACCGCAAATTGTATATGTAATTTGCGACGGTTGTCTGTGCAGATTCGACGCGTACCCCAAGCGTCAAACTTAAAGTAGAGCAGACAAACAACTGGCTACACAACTTTGTTGTCGTACAACTCATCATAAGCTGTAAGCTGATAGCGCTAAGTCTCTGATACGTCTACGAAATGGCTCAGCAACTTTGTGCTGACTGGAGAGAAGATTGTTTTAAGTATGGTACCAATGTGGAGCGCAGCCAAAATATACACAACACCTTTTCCAGTCCAATTTCGTAAAGAGCAATTAAACTTCAGCTAGTGTAAAACAAGATCGTATCGAGCAAAGGCAAATTCACTACCGAACACAAGTAATGAATAACCTCCCTGAATGCATACAAACGGAAACCCAACATATATCGGAGGTACTTTATGGGAGCTATTGACTGACCGGCATGTCAAGCACTAGCCCGTGAAAGTGAAATGTATGGAGATAGAAGTTTCTGCAGCGGTTAGCTCTATTCACTGCAGGTAGGAATCGCTGCGCAGCAGTCTGCAAAAAGTACTGGCCCCGATGGGCTTTCATCGTGACTCCTTCTGGAATGCTCATAATCTCCATACGACTCTCTCTCATGGAAGCTTTGACAGCGGACTTGAACGCCGAGAAGACGTTCTCGATGGGTTTAGCATGGGAGAATATGGGCCCAACCGTAACAACAAAGTGTCAAGAAACTCAGTCTCCTCAAAGACCTGTTTAGCGCGGCAGTGACAAAGAGCATTATCTAGCGTAAGCACAACGGCATCGAGACCAAACTCGGTGGCGTCACGAATATGGCGCAGAAGACTGTGGATGGAGTCATTCGTGTTTGCATGTCGATTTCCTCCGAATTTATCCTCGAAGTAGACAAGTCCGTGTTCACTTATGCACGCAATGACGTGCATGTTTTGACCACCACCCGCAATCACTTTCTTCACAGCTCGACGCCCACGTTAACTTCGCCCTCGAGTACCCGTAGTCCAGAGATTAAAGTTCGTTTCATCCATATAGAGAATCATCTTTCCGGTGGCTTGATATTCCAGAAGGTGGATGGGTTATTCGTGCCGCTTGAACTTGTTTGCCATGGTGTTCATGTACTGCGGCTTTTGGTGAAGCTGCTTCATAGTTAAACACGCTCCATCTACGTGATTTTT